TAACACAAATTAGTTAGCATACATCAGTTAAATGATGAAAAATTAGGTGTCTATTTACTTGTGCCCACTCAGTGTATATAGTAAAGTAAGTAGTTTAAATGTTTGTGAATTTTTACACTTGATTTTTTGTATGTATATATCTGTACAATGAAATTAATATTACATTCTTTCATACCAGGTTACTGAGAGCTTTAATATGTCTGTCTAGGGAATGGAAGGATGTGGGCCTCTTTTTTTTTTAATCAGTTTCCCTTCTTTCTCCCAAACAAAGAAAATATAGGCTAACATATACAGTACTACATTCATGCAACTTTGATGTCCACACCTCAGCTAATTAGAGAAAAGCATAATTACATGTGGACATTATGATTACTTGAAGATCAAACAAAATGGAAGCCTCATTGATAAGGACAGTAGATGGAATGATATGGTTAAATGACAGGTTACAATACTTTTTTTTTTATAACTGCATACGACCTTGTGATGTATATTTCATGATATAGCCTACTAGGTTATTATTTTCAAATAAAATTGTAATTATATATGTATTCATATCTTAAGGTTCTATGATAGTAACCAAATCAACACTGGTTTTATATTTTCTTTGCCTATTGGAATTGCCCAGACTATAGTCCAAAATGCCATTACTTCCAGGTAATCATGTTGTTCCCTGTGTGGATTCTAAATGCATCCAGTAACTTTTAGGTTGAAAATCCTATTATTCTTTGATCAGTAACAAGTAAAGATCATTAATACCAGAGTATTTATTTTAGTTGAAAACTACAGCATGACTCACAGGAATTAAAAACAGGAGTAAGCAATAAACATATTATAAAAAATAGTACTATTTAGTAGTGATTACAAGGATAAACAAAAAACAACGAGGAGCCTTCACTTTGCAGAAATGTGTTAATGAAGTTTATATGTAGAAAGCTATTCTACATTCACTGAAAAAAGTTACATTTGAAAAAAATAAGTATCCTAAATGTTTTACTAAATACATTGGTTGATTCATTCTGTGAAACACTGAACAACTTCATTGAATTTGTGTTGCGTTCAGTGACTTTAAATTTGTATACAGCATTTAGTAATAATAGAATGTACCGTATTTTACAAAGATATAGGATACTGCATTGAAGGAAGCTTCAGTACTGTGTAGAAACAAGTATTATATACTAGTGTATTATATTCAGTGCTTGAAGTTACTTTTATAATAATAAATGAAGAATAAACATGAAAAACAAGAAATATAGTTCTCAGCTTCAAAAATTTACAAACCATCCTACTTCAGACATTTGACAGAGAAGTATGCCATCACATTATGTGGAGTATATATCTACTTAAATATCTGTCACAATGTCCAAATTTCCCCACCAAACCGTATCACAGACTAACTTATCTAAAATGGTATCTTAAGTTCATGTCCTGATCAGGATGGTTTTTTTGCAAAGAGTACGTGTCTAGTTGATAAGTTTTAAAGAGTTCCTAGGTGTATGTAGGATTATATTTAATTAATTTGTTGTAAAAAGTGCTTATTTCAAGATGGTGTCATAGGATACCAAAACATATGTAGAATCTTTTTTGGGGCAAGTCCCTGTTTTAATAACTATTTATTTTGTAATGATTTTGATGTTGTATTCCTTTTAATAGTAAATAGCATAGATCGGGACATTGATCCACATGAAGTAGGAATTGTAGGAGCTGATGGTAAAGAGAATCGACAGCCTTTTATGGTTTCATTTTTTAAGACACCAACTAATCTGAATATAAGACAAAGACGTTCTCCAAGGAGAAGAACCAGCAACCGAGATCAGCAGAACTGGAGTCCTTATACTAACACAGGTGGGTCATAATTCAGTTTATTTATGAGAGAAAATATCAAATCAATTTGTTTTTATTATTTGATACTTCAGTTGTTGAAGTAAACATGAGATTCTACACTATGAATGAACCTAGTGCTTTTCCAAAGTTAAAGTTTTCTGTTATAAATAAAATCTACATTAGTCAGCCTAAGGTTATTACAAAAGCAAGTCCTGAAATGTTAGATTTAAGCTTAAACAATTAAATATGGAAAAGGAATCAATGTAGCATTCTCAAAAACTATTCTATTGGTAACTACTTTTGTTTCAGGAGTTTAGAATTTTTGCTTAAAATATCTTATCCATTGTTAAGTACTTTTGCTCTAAGGGTGTTCTAAATGATTTCTTCTCAGTTTTTTAGGTTATATTAATGACATGATTTTAAACTGTTATAGTTAAAGTTTAGTATTGTTATGACAGCAGAAGTCACGCTGGTAACATGTCATGAGATTTTCAAGGGATCTTGACTTTTCCTGGCAACTCTAGTCTGTTCTAGGTGCCCTCTTTTTTTTGTATATAAGCCCGGCAAATAAAGCAGAGATATAATTGCATAGATATAGAGACAGATAGTTGAGTCAAGTAAACGGTAATGACCGTAAGTTAAGTGTGTGAATCACTGTGAATTATAGTGTGTGTTTATAAAAGTAATTAAGTTTAAAGGGACTGTGGAAATTAAGTGTATTACAAAGTTTGTAACGAGAAAGAATAAACTAGTTTTAATTAAGAAAGGACTTGTATCACTGAAGTTTTTTGTGGGAAATTAACAAACGAGCAGATACGCAATAGTATTTTTCTCTATCAAACACCTATTTAACTGAATTCCTCTTAATCATACCTGTGCTTTAGAATATACAGATATTAGTGAATTATATGTAGGTCAAATTTAAAATGTTCAAATAAATTAAATTTATATAAATTACCTGTGAAAAATCCAAGTTATTTTACTTTTAGGTAATCTGTAAGCTTAGAAGAAATACTTTTTATGAATACTGTTTTATTAAAAAGCTCAAATGTTTCTGAATTCATTATTGATGTATTTAGCAAGAACTGTTTTTGAAATGTGTCTTAAAAAGTGCATTTTCAATAAATTTTCATCTGTGTGACTTTTATATGGATGAAATTTTTGTAAAAGTAGTTTGATTTGTATAGTAAGGTTAAAGAGCAGAGGTAATTTTCAAAATTGCTTACTTATTAAAAATAAATAATGCTATTATAATTTGTGTCACCATTTCTTTTACATGTAATTATATTCATATAGAATTTTTATATACATTCATACACACATACATATAAGTGTCTCACAAACTCTAATAAATTGTTTACTTTACCTTAAAGAGACATCATGGAAATTAGATGTTTAATAAAGCATTCATTTGTTTTAGTTTTACTATAGCAATGAAACTATTATTTTACATAAAGTTCTTGTTAATTGTGTTAATGAAGAAATAGCCAAACTGAAATGTTGGCAACCTTCCACAGAGATAAATGAGGTTTTCATGTAGTCAAATAATTTTTTCAATGAAAAGTTATTTCAGTTTTAAGTATTTCACCCAATGTATAAACAATCAACAGCTGAAATCATGCAAACATTTGTTTTTTTTCTGATTAAAGCATACTGACTATGTAAAGCATCAGCGTGATTGGAATTTAACTTTTCTATATGAAAAACATAAAAAACAAATGTAAATTTTAATTTGACCTTTTTTTTATAGTGTTTTCCATCGTTGTAGCTGTACAGATTATGTTGATGTAAATGTAGATTTTAGGCATTATGAAGTAAGAAAAATTCATTCAATTGTTACTTCTTTAGGATACTAGACAGTAAATCAGGCTAGAAAATATAACATCTATTAGTTATAACAAGTATAATAAGAAATTTATAAATTTTATGAAGACAAGTTGGGATTGATATATATATAACTTAGTCAGCTATAGTAACATGGAAAGTTCTAATGCTACAAAAAGTATTGAAACCAAGTCAAAAGTACAAAATCTGAGTTATTTAAAATTTAAAGAATTTTATCCCTACTTTGGCAAATCACTATAATTATGTTAGTCTGAGCCAAAGTAGGGATAAAATCTTTATAATTTTAAGGAACTCAGTTTTTGTAGTTCTGACTTTCTTGTTTCAATACTTTTATATTAACACAGCTAGCCCGGTTATTTATATATATATATATCTCAATCCCTACTTGTCTTTATAAAATTAAACTTTTTCTTATTGTACTTGTTTGTTTTCCTTTTATTAGCTATATTTTTGTACACCAGCAATACCAAGTATGGAGTGCAAGTATACCCGATTAAATCTTATTATTCATCAGGTTCTCTACCAACCTACCCTCAAATCTAATCATATGCCCAAAGTAGTGCATCATCTGTTTTATATATATACCAGTAACCTTTTCGATGCAAGAATCACTGGGATCCCAAACTGAAGATTTCATCATTATTTCTGAATGCTTGTCTGGAAAAGTCAGTTACTTAGATGAAACTTCATTGAAATAGTGAAATTTTAATTCTCTCCATAAACACATATATATAGTGATTTAGGTGACTATAAGTTCAATAAGCTTTAATTTTGCTCAGCCAGTACTGTGAAATAGCCATTCAGACATTTTAAAGATGGTTTTAAACAAGCAAATTTTATGGCTACCATTTTATTTCATCACAATTCCTACTATTAAGTACTACCATACTTAATGATTACATACAATGAATATTGTAATGAAATTTTAAAGAAAATTATTCAACATTAGAGCAAAAATAGATTTAAGATTAGAAAAATACCTCATTTTTTACAAGTTTTTGACAACAAAGACTGATTATAAATATTTTAAATGTATGATATATTTCTAAGCCATGTTTTCTAATAACTAGGTATTCCCTTTCACTATCCATCCAAACGCAGCTGTCAAAAGAGAACCCTTTTTGTAAGTTTCAGTGATCTTGGATGGCAGGTAAGTTAAAACTTAGAGGTATGAATCAAAGCATACCAGTACCTGTCTAAAAACTTATTAGAATACATCATCCAATTATTTTCTCTACAGTTTTTATATTATTTAACTTTTTCAGAAAGAAAAATTTACATCTAAAAAAAATTAAGTTTCTTTTGTTGTTGTTGTTGATCTACTCTATGAAGTTATGTGTAAAGAAAGTCCAGTTACTACCAGATGATGGCACTTACAGTAGTGTATGCTGACCTCCAACTTATTAATAAAGCCTTTAAGACTTCACAATAAAACATGAGACAGAAACTAAATGTGCCAAAAGTAGTTTGACTGTCATGTCTTGCATTTATAAACGTTCAAGCATAGGAAAAATACTTTCCTGTTGCTTGCATTCTGTGTTACTTACTTAAGTTCTTTATAGTAACAAATTACAATGATGAATGTAGAAATATTTAAAGGGATACAGTATGTACATAGAATGCTCATACGATACACACATTGTTGAGCATATTTAATACAGATAGAAGGTGGTAGTATATTGTTGCTAAAACATATGTTTTTGTTGCACATGACCCTGTGAATATAGTTCTTTGATTTTTCATATAAAACATCTGTGTGTATATGTTTTCATATCCCAGTGGATTAACTGTGTGTACATGTATTTTCAAGTCCCAGATATGGCACAGACTATTTACAACTGCTAGTGTGAAAATTTAAATATTAGTGTTGTGATAATGATGTGAATGATAAAGATAATGCTGGAGTAATGAAATATATAATATGATAGTGATAAGGAAAGGATGTCAAACAGAGTTCAAATTAATGCTAGCAAATTGTTGCTCATTATTGTAGTTTTGCTAGTAAAACTTAGAAGGCACTAGAAAAAATTGATAGTACACGTTTCACAAGGAAAAGTCTCCAAACTTTACTGCTGAGTACAATACACCTCTGATACATTTATTTCAGTCATTTATATTGCAAGATACTGAGTATGGAATATTCCTATATGCGAGATTAACAAGACTGGTGCCATGCCAGTTTTACAATCCCCCCATTTGAACTGTATGGCAAATCCAAGCTAAGTATCAATAAACGGGATAGTGAGACTGCAGTTTTAACTCATTTGTTTGCTAAAACAATTAGCACATGGGCCAACATACTAGACTCACACCATATGGCTTCTGCAGTGCAGTTTTGCTAGCAGCATGGTTAGAAATAATGTACCCAAGTGGTTGCATATTGGAGATAATAAGAAAATAAAAATCACATAAACTGTAGTTGTTTTTTTCCACATTCTCTTAAATTTGTTAATGGTTAACACAAATGTTAGGCTTATTGACTTCTAATGCTTCACTAGCTTTCAGCTAGTAGCAGTCCTGAATTTGCTGGTGGGAAAAAATGACTAGTAACTATTTGCTAGCTAGTGCCTTTAAAAGTTAAAGTCAAGGTCTGTCTAGGATAGAATATTTTCAGGCGAATGAAACAGAATATGACTATGGAAAGGAATGATAACAGTAGAACGATGCTAAAGAAAGAATGTCAAGGATAGAAAGTTGTCAAGTGAATGAAGTAAAATAGGATTGTGAGTATGAGGGTAACAGTGGAATGAAAGGTGTCACCAAAGAAACTGTTGCGTCAGCGAGGTCACGTGACTAGTGTCATGCCACCTATTTTCTAGAACTACCCTGTTCCTTTGGGAGTGCTCTAGCATTTGCTAGATTGGGGGTGGTCTGGTATATATAAGATGGTCACGGCATGATGTGACAGAATGTGTGTAGGTAGTGAGAAAATGAACTGCAGTCAGAAAGTATTGTTGAAGTTAACGTTCGTTGTTATAGCGTTTGTTATAGAGTGA